ATGACCATGACCTTATTTAATCATCTCTCCTTTTTACTTGTTGTTTGCTGTTCTTACTTGTAGGTAAAAGGACCAGGCTAATGTAAGGCTTTTGGAGCCCACTCTAAATTTATAAAGTGATTAAATACCCCCCCCACCTCCACCCCCACAGTTGCTCTTCTGTCATTTAAGAGGCTGAAGTTGAAGAGGATAAGGGAGAGTTATTTTTTTAGAACTTGAAATTGTAGTCCTTTGTTGCTTCTAGTTACTGTGTATATCTTTATTTTGTGGGTAAAAATAAATGTTTATTGAACAAGATATATTTTTTAAAATTTAAAGAATTTATTCTTATAGCTGTATCTAAGATAAAAAGTTTCATATAGCTTATTTTCTTTCAAACTGTTTACCACACTTTGATTGTAACCACTCATAGTGAAATAAAGTAAACTCGGTGGCCAGATCCAGTTTGAGGAGCTACTAAAATAGAAAATATGTCATTTAAAAAGCCTCAAAGTAGGTTTCCATAACAGCCATTAGCTTTGAAATCTGCCTTCTGTGGTTCATTGCAAATAGGAAAATATGTCCTTGATTCTATACCAAGTAAATTGTTTGCTTCTTTGTATTATAAGAAACATAATAGGGTGAAATGCTTTAATTAACAATTCTTCCCAGTAGCCAATGAAGCTAACTTTTAAATACTATGACAGATCAAGGTCAGTTGTTTTTGATAATTACAGAAATGGTTTCCTAATCAGGGGCTCTCACATGTAGCTTTCCTTAATTCAGAAGTTTGAACACTAAGTTATAAATAGACAAGATTGGGAGAAATGTAGTCTCTTCTCTAGAAACATAAGTCTTTAATAGCAGAAAAAATTAGCGGAAGACAGAAAACTCTTCAGTACTTCAAAAGGAAAAAGTTCCACGTGATAGGTTTTTCTAAGATGGAAATAAGTGATAAAGAAGAATAAAAATTACCAGTATTCTGGCTGAAACCAAGTTGATAAAATGCCGGGAATATGGGGAATGTAAATGAAGACAGTATACTAAGAAAGATTTGATTAAGGTTAGTTATTTATGGCAGTGATCATTTTCCTTCTAACGGTTGTCACAGAAGTGTTTGTTCACAAGTAATGTAGAAAATGTTTGTTTTTTAACTTTGAAAGTTCGCAGGTAACATGTGAAAGAGGCAGTGTTGTATCCATGAATGTAATATGTAGGCCGCGGCCTGCCTGGCAGCTATCTGCTCCTGGGTCTCCCATCAGAAAACCGGGCCGGGCCAGAAGAGAGGTGGACACGCAGCACTGTGGCAGGTAATCATTCCTTGTATGCTGCCTTTTTAGGGATCTTGAATATACAAAGCCTTTCCTGAAAGAGTATGGTTACTGAGGAATGATGACAATAAAAGGCCGAATTGCAGTGCGTCCATCAGCAGTTTGCTCTCTTTGTGGGTGCACGATGACAAAATTTCCTGAAGCGAATCATTGGTCTGACCTCAGTAACATCAGGATTGAAGCTTTATACTTTGGACAGGCTTTCCAAGAAAGGCATTCCAAGAGAGCTCAGCTATGTTTAAGAAAAAAACAATCAGTGACCCTTGGACAACACTGGGCCTTAAACGTGTAGTAAATACCTCTGTGTACTTTGATATATTTGCTGAATCAAGCACTGCTGGAATCAGAGAGACAAGAAATAGTAATAGACCTTCAAGAATAGCTGTGTTTCCATTTGGATGAAATATCCAGTGNTCGCTGGCGACTCATGGCAGCCCAGCTCCAGGTCGAGCTGTTGTTCACCATCTTAGCTGTAGAGGGTGCAGCCTCACTGGCCCTCATGTGGGATCCGAACCAGGGCCCTGCTGCTCAGAGCTGGCTTCCCAAGCCAACTCAACCAATGCGCCACTCGGCCGGCCCTCTAGTTTTTTTAATGATTCCAGAAAACAAGCAGCTTATTGGATATTCATTCTTTTTATAAGTTTTATATTTGAAAAATATTTTCATAGTAAAGCAGGCATTTGTGTTTCTAAAGCCCTTAAAACATGAATACTTAAGAAAAAACATGAACATTAGCCTAGTATATAAACACTGTTCATATCTGATTAGGTAGACAATGAAATATTTTTCTTTTCAGCCTGATTCTTTAAATATTCTCTTGATAGTGGTAAAAAGTAAATATCAAGTAGAAATTGTGTGTTTAGTTTTAGGTTGTACCAATGCAGACTAGAATTCATCGTTGTTTTACCCAGGATACAGTAAGCTTTACCCAGGCTAGTAAACTCTTTCCTCTTCTTTTTCCAGGGACTTGATGTCGAAGCTGAGAACTGTGCAGTGTGCATTGAAAATTTTAAAGTAAAGGATGTTGTCAGAATTCTGCCATGCAAGTATGTTCTCGTTACCTCCTGTGATGTTAAAAATAACTTGACAGGCTTCAGGTTTCCAGCAAAAGAGTTTCTTGTCTTTAGGACATGAAGATCTGGCTCTCTGTATGATCTCATCCTTTAGAAAAGATGTTTCCAGTCTTCAAGGCTCCTCCTGTATTCTATTGCTTTAAAATTGCTTTGCTTAGGAGACTGTAGGTGACTGTTGAGACCCATTACATATCTTTGTCATGGCTTTTTAAGGAGCAAAGAAACTGAAGTGTTGATTAGTGAAGGCCCCAGGAGAGGGCCACGGCAGTGGTTTGCTGTTATTTGCACCCTGGGTTTGGGTTCTTTCGGGGATTGTGAAAAATAAACATTCCTCCCCTTACTCTTGGTACATTAAGGATTTGTTATTTTAGCAACAGGAAGTTGTGTTTCCTTTTTAATAACGGGATAGTGATAATTTTTTAAAAGAATTCCTTTGTTAGCAGAAGGGTGCACAAAAATATAATACGTTTAAGTCTGATCAGTTTTAATTATATTTCACACTTATTAGAAGCAAGTCATGAGTTAATATGTTTGCTTTATGTTTGCAAAGTACTTTAGTATGTATACAAGTACTTTAGGTTAAGTTCTCGGTAATTTGAAGGAAGTGAATAATACCAGAATTACGAAATAAAAGTTTCCCAAATAAAGCTATATACATATATATATATATATATATATATATATATATATATATATATATATATATATATATATATATAATTTAAATATACAGGCATTTCTAGAGCATTGGTGTGCTGGGTGCTTAATGAATTGGAGTCAGTATAGGTTGATCATGTCCTGTAGAAAATTACTAAAATAGAAAAGAATTTTTACTCTAGGCTGGTTTAGGGCAAGACTTTCTGACTTAAAAAATAATGCTTAGGATGCTGCACCAAGAAGCCACATGAGGCTCATTTTCTGTCATACATAGGACCAGATACGTCCTGATGGCTGAGCTGGGTTTTGCATTTGACTCTCATAAGCAGACTTGTGACATGTGCACATTTCCGGGTCTCCTTCTTAGGGGTTTTGACTCCNTCATTATCAGGGCATATTCAGGAACATGGTGGGTTAAGACTGGCTGGAATGTAACAAAGATTTGGTATGGTGGCTGCAATTGAGAGTCTCAAAGCGGGAGGCTGGTATTTCTCAAAAGATTCTATGGAATGTTTTAAGGGGAAAAAAAAGAGGGTGGGAATTCCATGCTCAGGATATGGTATGCTAACTATACAGTATGAATTTCCAGAAGAAATTCTCAACTTCCTTGACTTTGGAACTTTTTCCCCCTAAGACGCTGAGGAACTAGTGGACCAGTCAGTACTCCAAGGAAACACTGCCATAGGCTGCCAGGGTCACAAGTGTCTCACACTTAAGGGTGATACACTGTGATGGGGGGCGGGGGGAAGGACGTGGCACAGAGAGCAGACCTTGTCCTTGAAATTACTGATAAAAAGATGCAGGTAGTTTGCACTAAGTGCCAAACATCTGGTAAAGACCAATAGCTGCTCCAAGAAATGTAGTGAAGGGGGGCAGAAGTGAGCGCTCAGAGCTCGGTCAACCCAAAGGACTTGAACAGAATGCAGCCCATGGACGAGTGAGTCTTAACACAGGGGAAAGGCCTTCAACAAGGAAAAGGCAGAAAGGAAGCAGTGTGTTTTCAACAAGCAGCTGCCCAGTTTTGCCAGTGACAGAAAATAACGTTGAAAACTTCATGCTTTCTCCCAAAAAGGAGACAGTCTCTTATGCACACACTTGGGATCACCTGGCTTTCAGCCAGGCGTTTTTTTCACCAGCCGATTAACTAACTTAAAAGGACACATTCTTTAGTACAACTTCAAGTAGGTCACAAAAAAAATAATCCCCAACTTACAAACGAGAGTTCAAAAGTGCTGTCATTGAGGTTCCGTTGCCTCACTCAGAATGGATTTGCCCACATAGCATCAGAAGGACCATATAAACAGGACGGTACCACATGAAAGGGAACCCAAGATGAGAAACCTAACAGGGACTACCTCAGGCAAACCTGGACATAACGGCCACCCTATATATAAACAGCTTAATAAACAGGAAGCTCCCAAGCTATACCCCCAAGCCTATTAAATTCATAATTTGCCTAAAACATATTAGTAAGGAAAATAATATAAAATGGGAAAACACTGTACAGAGCACATCAAGAAGGGAATGCATTATGTTTTCCCAACAGTGACAACAGTAAGGGGACTGAGTGCACAAGGCTGGGGGAGAACTTCTAGGATAAAAGTCCCAGAATCCTCTCAGCTCTTAAAACCTGCACTTTCCCATGATATAGCTGTCAGTCTAACAAGAAATAATGTAACATATGTATTTGTGTACAGGTAAAGGCTGTACAACTATATAGATTTCAGCAATTTTCATTTATGCTCTATTAATACTAAATATTTGAAATCCTACCCTCTGAGTTCTTACTAGTGGATTTTAAATCCACACACAGTGAACATTAAGGCTCGGATTATTTATTCTCAGGCTAACAATATCAGAAAAAAAGAAATTGTTGATCGTTTGTCCCTCCTGGCCATTTAATCAGGATCTGTATACTCCCCCATCTGAGCAAGCTTAGAAACTTACCGATTTACAACTTCCATGGAATGTAGAGACATGTCCATGTTGACCAGGACCGAAAAGTACTCAGTGATCTGGCTGGACTGCATTAACTTCAGCAACATTTCTATGGCGACCAGCGGGTTGTTCTCCACCAGGTCAGGGAGTTTGGCTGGAGTGAGGCCAATATGATAAACAAGTTTGGGGTCTTTTTCCAACTCACCAAGGAGCTAAATACAACCACATTTTTTAAAAGAGAGAAAGAGAGAGAGGTTCTGAAGTCAAATTAGCTTTCTCTTTCCTGCGTACAAAAACGTATTTTATACAAATAGCTATACAATTATCTGCACTGAACCAACTTCATAAATTCTTCCCTCAAACCCATGATCATAATGACTTGATATTTTTCTATTTACATTTAAATTGTAAAGATATTAAAATATAAACAGCTTCTGGACAGTTTATAAATATACCCGTGATTCCTCTTGGGCATTAAATTAGACTGGATACTGTTTGGCTGGACAAAATACTGTCTGGATTTAACAACATCCTTAGGTCCTTGGTAGGTCTCTTTTTCTGTCATATGTTATAGTCAAAAATAATCTTAGTTATCAACTAGTTCTCCCCAAAAGCACAGGCCAGAAACTTGAGGAACATGAGAAATCCCTGAGAAGGGAGCAGGATGGGAAGAGGCAGACCCAACCTGCAACTCACCAGGTAGTAGTTTACCATTCAAGTCGCATTCACACTTTGTAATTCAAATAGGTCTCCTCAAAAACAATCTTTTGTACAAAATACTAAGTACTTTTTCTTTAAAATTTTCCATGTTCTTTCCCCCATCTACATGTACCATGGTGNCCCCACTAGGCTGGACAGAAAAGGAAACCATCAAAACAAAAAGACATCGTACTGAATGGGGTATTTGCCAATGATATGTCTGATAAGGGGTTACTAGCCAAAATTTACTTAAAACAAACTCATACAACACCAAAAATCCAAACAATACAATTAAAAAATGGGCAGAGGACCTGAACAGACATTTCTCTGATGTCATTAATCATCAGACAAATGCAAAACCACAATGAGAGATCACCTCACATCTGTCAGAAGGACCGTATCAATAAATCAACAAGAACAAGTGTTGGCAAGGAAGGGGAGAAAAGGGAACCTTCATGCACTGTTGGGATTGCAAATCGGTGCAGCCACCTATGGAAAACAGTATGGAGGTTCCTCAAAAAATTAAAAATAGAACTACCTTATGACCCAGCAATTCCACTCCTGGGTATTTATTCAAAGAAATCCAAAACACTAATTTGAAAAATAATATGTACCCCTATGTTCACTGCAGCATTATTTACAATAGCCAAGATATGGAAACAACCTAAGTGCCCATCAACAGATGGCTGGTTAAAGAAATTGTGGTACAGTTATACAATGGAGTATTTACTATGCCATAAAAAAAATGAAATCTTACCATCTGCAACAACATAGATGGACCTAGAGAATATTAAGCTAAGGGAAATAAGTCAGACGGAGAAAGACAAATAACATCATCTCACTTATATGTGGAATCTAAAGAACAATAAACGAGCAAAAAAACCCCAATACAGCAAAACCTTGGATTACGAGTAACGTGGTTTGCGAGTGTTCTGCAAGACAAGCAAACATTTCTAATAATATGAGTTGTTTCCAGAACGAATTATGCTCGCAAACCAAGGTATTACTGTACTGATACAAGAATAAACTGATTGTTGCTAGAAGGGAGGGGTTGGGGAATGTGTGAGAAAGTTGAAGGGATTAGGAAGTACAAATGGATAGTCACAAAATAGTCACGGGATTTGAAATACAGTATGGGGAATATGGTCAATGTAAAGACTATATATAGGGTGTCAGATGGGTATTGGACTTAACAGGGGAATCACTTCATAGATTATATAAATGCCTAACCACTGTGCTGTACACATATGAAACTTAATATAAAAAATATTGAATGTCAACTAGAATACGTATGTATAGTCATGGGATGTAAAGTACAGCATAGGGAATATAGTCACTGGTATTGTAATAGCGATGTAGTGTCAGATGGGTAGTAGACCTGGTGGGGTTATCACTTTGTGAGGGGCATAAATGTCTAATGTTGTTTTGTACACCTGAAACTAGTAAAAAAATTTTAAAAACCACTAGGCTGGTTTTCTTAAAATTTTGCTGAGGACTGAACTGGAATATAATTCCTGTTGAACAGATTATTTCCCTGTAAAGTATATGCTTTGAAAATACCTTAGTAAATGAGGAATTTTTCATGATTTCTTCAAGAAAAAAAATACCATCAGATTAAGTTTATACAAAAGAACTTTAATGTAAGGCACTGTTGTCCAAAGTTAAATGAGGGGTAACAGCCCACAGGGTGCCCTCTTGCTCTCCCACTTCTCAAACAGGTCATCTGCCCCTCCCATGGGCAGAAGGGTACAGATCCCACTCGGCAACTTGACACAACCATTCCTCGGTGCCAGTACTTCCCAAAGCACTGACTCGAAAAACTAATGAACATCTGGAGAAGAAAAAACCGACAAACTATACCAGCCATTATAGCCCGGAAAAGGGCTTCTAAGAGTTTTATAAGAGGCCCGAGAAATGCATTTATTCTGTTGTCTATGAAGTACACATGACAGGAAAAGATAAACTCACAAGTATGTCCTTTGGTTCAAACTCTGCTTAATGAGAAGGTAAGAGCTATGTGTATAATGGGTTCAAAGCTCAAACTTCTGTTTGCCACTTGATTAAAAAACACTCAGCTGATTTCACCCAGGTGCCAATTCAACAAACGCTTGAGAATGTCTTCATTTACTCTCATAAAATATATGTAACATTTGAACCTTAGGAAAACTGCATTCTTATCAGAAGCC